GGGCAGTGGCCCGTCAGAATACCTTTCAGCCTACTAATTCCCTTCCTTGAGATAGAGAATAGTCATTTCGATTCTGCTGGTTTGATCGCCTTAACAAACTCTTTCGATTGCCTGTGTCCCGGGGGATAAATTCCACTCCGTAAGGAATTGTTTCATGCCCCAGTTATTAATACTCTCTTTCGCTGTGATCATAGAGTGAGGTAATACCGGTTGAGGCCCGAGCAACACAGTATTAGAACCTTCTTTGGCTAGGCCATCTGCCTCTTCATTGCCATGGTGTCCTATATGTGCTGGTATTCAAATAAGGGTTACCTTGTTCTCAAACCTGGAAGAGATCCTATTGATAAGATCTGTAGTTTCCTCCACCAGTCGTAAGGTTGATAAATATTTTTGTAATGACGTAAGACTAGCCTGATTGTCAGAAAATTTTTTAATATCTTTTCCCTAATTTTATTTTCCATAAGTGTTCTACAACACACATTAATGGCCCAGATTTCCGCCTGAAAAACGGAGGTGTTATTACAAAGAGGGGAGGAGAGATTCCTAATTTTGGTATGTAGATTCCTGCACCTCACACATTCAGTATATCACATACAGTACACATTGACACGTTTAATCATTTGCCATTTACTTACGATTCTCACAATCACTCAATCATTTTCCAATCTCTCTATCATAAATTGAGATTCAAACCACTCACCCATCATTTCTGTATCTCTTTCATCTGCTTATTCACGCCCTCACAATTCATTATTAAAGTCTACTTTTATTTAGTTGCTCATTCATGCAGTCAGTGTCACATTCACTCATTCATTTTCCGTACCTCACTCCCCTCATACATCTCAGAACTCATACATTCAGTATCTCTGTATTTAAATTTCGTACTCATTCGCTCTCTCATTTATGTATTACTTCATTCAACACGTATTACTCCTGTTTCTCCCTCAGTTACTAACTCACTAAAAACATTCTCTCATTCTTTTTGTATATTAATTCTATACTCATTCTTTCATTTATTAATTACCTTACTCAACCACTTATTTCTTACATGTATATCTCACCTACTCTCTCATACATCAGTATTTCATTTTTTTTGTGTATTGCGATTTCTTACTCCTTCGATCTCTTATTTATTCATTCCCTCAGTTAACCACACTTCCTTCCGTTTCGCTTACATACTTACTTGTACATCCATGCAGCAACTATTACAACCTCTCATTCATTCGGTTCATTCGCCCATTCATTCATTTTCTCATTTGCACAATTATTAATTTTTTTTACTAGGTTTTGCAACAGTAGAGGTCATACCGACACTCGGGTGCCGGTGTTTTTGGAAAACCCCTTCCATTTATTGTCACAAAAAATCAACATTAGGCCTTCTGCGAGTGAACAGAATCACCTCTGTTTTTGACTCATTGGGTCTGATCCGCCACCTGTAAAAGTAATTAAATGTTTTCTCAAGGGCTACTGAGAGATGCCTAGCTATTGTATCTACCCTGAAAGACGAGATCATAAAAGCGGTGTCATCAGCATATAGGGCACACTTTGGCTTAACTTTTAGTTCGGTTATACCATTAATAAATAAATTGAACAATGTGGGCCCTAGGACAGAGCCTTGGGGTACACCAGCAGCAATTGGCCGTAAGTCAGTGCTTACGTTGTTAAGCGAGACACAAAATTTCCTATCTTCCAGATAACTCCTTATTAAATAAACGATGTATTTGGAAAAGTTATAACTGATTAACTTAAAGAGAAGTCCATTGTGCCATACGCAGTCGAACGCTTTTTCAACATCAACCAGTGCCATCCCAGTGTGCTTGTTCAAATTAAAATTGTGCTCAATAATATCTGTGACCCTCGCCAATTGTGTTGTGGTGCTGTGATGTGACCTGAACCCAAACTGTTCAGCCGCCAGTAGGTTCTTCTCGTCAATAAACAGTTGATTCTTCTTAATATCACGCGTTCAGTGATTTTGCCAAGACAAGGAAGAAGTGAGATGGGCCGGTAGCTACTCACCTGAGACATGTCTTTACCAGGTTTAGGTAATACAATTATTTTGTTAAAAAAATTATAATAAACCCAGAGGGTATGCAATATAATTATTCATATATATGTATAGAAGTAAAGTATAGAACAAGTAGAAAAAAAAAGTCACATGTATATATAAGCCAATGCGAATGAGTGAGTATTAGATAAGAGTGTAAGTGAGTGATCAAATGTCGGAGCGATTGACAAGACGAATGAGCTGTTTGCAGGTGAAGTAAGTGAATTGGTTGGGGGTGAAAGTGTGAACTACCGACGATGTTAGTGCGTATGAGCGTACAAATTTGCAATTGTATCGCATATTTGTGCCCAAGGAAAATCGGGCATACCAAGCCGCAGTTATTTTTTTGATCCTGCCAATAATATTGATTTAGGAACCTGATATTTATCATTATTAAAAAACACTTATCTAGGTGAAATTACTAATGCCACTTCGCGTCGCTATGCGATCATTACCGCCTATAATGATGGAGCCGGTAGTGTATTAAGAGTATTCCATAACAATAAAAAGCTGGCAGCACAAATTATTAATCAAATGCCACCAGATGATGTTTCTCCCATTTGACTTAAATAAACCCGTACAGTTATACGTAATTTTTGTTGTAAATATTTTTTTGCGATTACACTTGCAGTAACACGCATCGCCGTTTCGCGAGCTGAAGATCGCCCACTACCGCGGTAGTCACGTAAACTATATTTTTGTTGATAGGTATAATCTGCATGCCCAGGGCGAAAAATAACCTTGATTTCACTATAATCTTGCGACCGTTGATCCTGATTTTCAATCAACAAACCAATGGCACTCTTCTATCCCTAAAGGTTTCTCTCTGGATGTTAAGAGTAGGTAAGGTTCTTCGCGTTGCATCGAATTAAACCACATTCTCCACAGTTTGTGCGGTCCCCCGTCAATTCATTTGAGTTTTATCCTTGCGACCGTACTCCCCAGACGGTCGTTTTAACGTGTTAGCTCCGGAGGCACATCAGGACCACAACCTCACAATCCACATGTATCAGCCAAGGATAAGAATACTGGCCAAGAACAGAAGATTACCATTAAAGCATCTTCTGGTCTGGAAAAAGATGAGTTCCAAAGAATGGTAAGCGATGCAGAAGCAAATGCGGAAGTTCGGGTAAGTAATCAGGCTGACCAATTGGTTCATGGTACGTGTAAACAAATTGAAGAATTGGGTAATTTGTCAGCTGATAAAGCAAGTAAATGAGTAATAAATGATTGAGTGATTAAACGACAGTACGTAAGAAAATATTAAAGACTAATTGTGGGTCGTCGGTAGCAGCAATGGTTTAGGGGTAGACCCGGCCTTAGTTCCATGGAAAAAAGAAGTGAAGTATTTCGGTTTGATGCTGGACTCAAAGCTCACGTTCACCAAGCACATCAACACGGTGTGCGATAGAGGAGTGGCTCTGATCTGCAATTTATTTCTGTTGTTAAATAGACACTCTGATCTGAGTATATTTAATAAAAGGTTAATTTATTATTTGTATATTCGACCCATGCTGTTGTATGCGGCTCCTGTCTGGTCTAATACATGTATCACCAACTATAGGAAGTTGCAGGTTGTGCAGAACAAATGCTTGAGACTGATTGGTTCCTTTTACAGGTGGACGCCAATAGACTACATGCATTCAGTATTGGAGGTGACTAGTGTCTCTACACAAGTCCACAGTATAACATCAAGATTTTTCAAAGCTTATGAACTTAGTGAATACACTAATATTAGAAATATTATTAACTATGAAGCTCTCTCCTTGCAGACACTTTACAAAAAATATAAGTACAAAAGAGTGAAGCACATTTTGCTGTAAATTAACTATATAATGTAAAGTTTTTAAAATATTTTTTCCCCTGTGTATTAATATTGAGATATGTTTCAATTAGTTATTTTTTACTTCAGATCAGGTATATAGGCAGGAAGCCTGAAGCCTGTCTTTTAATTTATTTGTAAATACTGTACATATTTTGTAAATAAAAATAAATTTTATTTCATTATAATTTTGTTTGATAAATAAGCCTTCTACATCGTACTTTTGCCCCAATTGATCTTATTTTTTCAGATTTATTAAAATTTATTGTAAAGTCAGTTTAATTTAATTCTCCATTTTTCATTCCAGATGGTAATAACTTAATTTGATTTTCGTCTCTTAAGGGCTTTATGATTGGGCAGATAATTTCGGTCAATTGCGATTAAGTGTTTTTCAAAGATTCTCATCAATATGATGAAGAAAAATAAAAGAAAAATACAAGAAGAACAGAGCGCACAGTTAAATAATTTAATTTTCCAAACAATGTGGAGGTTTTGGTGACTTAGCTGAATTAAGCCCCAGGTACGCTGTGTGTTTAACCCTTGGTTAATTAAAATGCGTTGAATCCATGAGAAATTAAGCCATTTTTGTAGTTTAATCAAACACCGTAGTGGAAATGCGAGACGGTGAATGTGAGTCGTAAACGGTGAAAAAGCTGCCGAGTAAAAAATAGGAGAATTTAATCATAATCATTTTGCGTTATACACGACCATTATAAACTCTCCATTAGAGCGATATATCAAAAGAGAAAATGGGAAAAATGTGACCCGGTTCGCGCCAGGAAAAGGAATCTCGATAATAAGAGAAAATAGGGAACCGACAACGATACCGAAGAGTAATTGGCTTTCATAAAAATGCGACTTAATAATTCCAGCGGACGTCGTTAAAGTTTGGAAACGGGACTAAAAGAGACCCCGGTGTAATTTGTTTATTCGACACGTGAAAAGGAGAAATTAATAGGTTAAATACGAGGGACTATTATCCTTCCGAAGGACGAGTGGGGCGAACGAAACGAAAAGTACTTGAAAACGAAACTAGGTCTAATGATAAGAGAAGAGCACCCCCACTTCGTTCGGTTTGCGTGTCTGTGCGATGATGGGCCAAGTGTGAACATCCGAGCGTGCAGTCGTCTTGTGCCTGTGTGCCGTGTGTGATACAGTGAACATTAATCGGAAATCAAGGTGATACCGCATAATTACAACGACTGACTTGCTAAGGTGAGAAAGAAAAAACATAACAAACTTTAAGTCCCTTATTGTTGCAATTCGTGATATAATATCGCCTTGTAACTCCAACTTAAAACTTACATTTTACTACTATAAAACATATACTTCATAAAGTCAATTGTGTTTTATCATGAAACACTTGCTACTTACTTTCGTATGAATTGTGCACTTAAAAAAATATATGAAATAATATATTCATACTTTACCAATAGATAATATTAATAACAAACATGTAACCAAAATAACAACAAATCAACATTAAATGGGCAAACTTTTAGTATTAAAATATTATTGATTATATTCAATCAATAAAATGAAAAGTAGAAAAACTCTCAGTCATACAAGAAAAATATATTGATAATTCCTTAAGTTCACTAATTTCGTGGTCCGCTTGACCAATTAATACATTACAATTAATTAAGGCTTTTAGTTGAGATGAAAAAAATATTGATAATCATAGATCATAAATACACAAGAGTCTCAATTTTATTACATTTACATTGATATTTTTTTCTTCTAATAATGGGGTTGTATTATATACTGTACAATGGTACAAATTAAGTTTTGAAATCATAACCTCAAATTTTTTTTCGAAAATCGCAAAAACTGATGATTACTGATCACATCGAAACGGCTCCAGTTAACCACAGGAAACATGCCATTTACAACCCTACACTTAATTGCACACGTTGACCTACATAAAGAAATAAAAATTGGAGTTGTAAAATAAACTTTTGGAGATTTTTTGTCGATTCAATACTCTCAATCATATTGACATAAAACCAAAGATTGTTGATATTGGCTCAAAGAAAAGAGATTTTGCTATAGTAGGTTAAAATATTTCCTTTTTTAAGCAAAAAATCAAGTTCACACTCATTTTTTTGCACCCCGAACGCCCTTGGTACATATTTGGGTAAAAATCTTCTCAAATTTTTTTACCACGTGTGGTGTTTAGTGGCCGTTAATCGATAATTATTCAGAAATCGTGAGATGCGGTCTGGTGTGATGTAGGTTTCAGAAAAACATTTTCTTTGTCGTGCCAACGTTTCGATCTTTATTGAGATCATCTTCAGGGCTCAAAGTGTGTATTTTTAGTGTAGATGTGTCATTTTTGTCTGTCGTGTTGAGAGTGCGAAACGTTGGCACGATAAAGAAAATGTTTTTCTGAAACCTACATCACACCAGACCGCATCGATTTCTGAATAATTTTTTTACCAACTTTTGCCGGCGTTTTTTTTCAATCACAAAAACGACTTCAATTATTCACAGGAACTTTAGACAAGGAATTTAGAACCATAGCAATTACCCATAGGGACAAAAATTTGGCTTCCCTAAATAAATAAGAACCAAATGAACAAAATAAAATTTTTGGAGAGTCTTTGTTGATTCTATCCTTTTTTCTCTTATAATGACATAAAAATTGAAGGTTGTTGATATAGTTTGAAAAAAAGGTAGAACTTTACAAATTGGGTTTTAGCAAGAAATCAAATTTATGTTTGTTTTCTGCACCCAAAAAAGCCTCTGATGCAAATTTTTAGGAAAAAAATTCTTTCAGATTTTCGCGTGATATTATTTTTGAAAATCACAAAAATGGTAATAAATTTGAAACGACCTTACTGATCTACAGGAAACGAAAGAACTTAAAAACCCATAAACCACATTTGATAGCATCACTTGAGCCTGCATAAATAATAATTGAATAAATAAAATAAAAGTTTAGAAGAGTTATTTTAAAATCATTTTGGCTTTAAGAAAAAAATAAGAAACTTTTAACCGTTTTAAGAACGTTAAATGTGAGTAAAATTCAGAAGCTTTATGGATTTTCAAGTAGAAGACCGGACATTATACAAAAATGACCCCGGATGATCCAGTCCAAAAATGTATAGTTTTTGTTGGTATAATAATCCTTGAAACGAATCCAAATAGTATTTTTGAAAAACCATTTTGAGTGATCGTTTGTTTTTTGTAGCTGATTGTATGCTGCATTCCCTTCTTTTGGTTTTTGTCTTTAAAGGTGAAAAATTCAAAGAATGGAATTTAAAAAAAATCAGAAATGTTTAAATTTGATTTCCCGGGTTCTTATTTATTTACGGAAGTTTGTAAGTTTGTGCCATTACGCGTCATATATACTCAAAGTCGAAAGAATAAAAATAAAATTTAACTAAAAATTTATTATTGTTTGTTCTAGTTTTGCTCTTCATAATGAATTAACCAGACAGTAAATTATCAGTTAAATTTATTGTATTACTAAATGATTTTTCGGTGTTTTAATGAATTTTCTTTTAAACCGTCATAATTACATATTTTGTATTAAAACTCATTAAATTCTGATCTCGTTTAATTTGTTAAAGGCGAACAGGCAGAATTAAAGAAAAACGAACAATATTTTTCCAACGCTTCTGTCGGGTTCGTGATATACTTACGAATGGGCTTTATTTCAAAAACACCCGCACCTTTTATATGACCTGTGCTGTTGTGAACCCCGAAAAATTGTTTTGAATTTATGTCATTATAGGGTACAAAAATAAAGATGAATTCGGAAAAACCTCAAATGTTTTGTTTTATATATTAAATTTTTTTTACGGTGACCAAAATTAAGCCATTACGCTCAGTGTACAAGATCCCTTTTAAAGTATTCTCTAGAGTAGTGAAGTCGTTTATTTCAAATTATTTCAAAATTTTGGAAAATATCTTGAAGGGAATAATTTTTTTCCTATTTTCCCAAAAATTTGTATTCAGGAGCTTTAAGGGGCAGAAAAGCATATCAACTTTGTATTTTGCTAAAAATATATTTTATCCTACTTCACAAAAACACGAAAATAATAAATCTGCAGGCGAGAAATTCTTATTCATTGAAATAAAATAAATAATTATATTGTGACCGTTCTACTTAGTAAAGCGGTAAAAATATATTTTTTTTTTAAAGTAAGAAGCACACTTAATAGTAGGGTTTCCCAAAATACCCCAGAATACACATTTTTTGAGGAAAACATTTTGCATTCTCTCAAATATCCTAAATGCCTTAGATTTCTTTTTCTCGAAAATCACAAAAATTTTGTTAAATTTGAAACGACTCCACCTATTCACAGGATCCTTTACGGGTTTAGAACCCTATAAACCGCACGTAATGGCGCAAACCTGATCTCCGAAAATAAATCAAAACCGGAGATATAAAATAAAGCGTTTTTCTTGATTCCATCCTTTAATTTTCCCACTTATATTGACATAAAAACCAAATGTTGTTGATATAGTCTAAAAAAAGAAAAATTCCGCATTCCAACGGTTTTAATAGCGTGAACATTGGATAAAATCCAGAGGGTTGAATTTTTTAATTGGAACACCGGACATCAGAAAAGAAGGCCCCCGGCTTATCCAGTTCAAAAATGTCTATTTTTTATTTGAAATAAAAATTATTATATAATAGCTTTAAAGAGCTACTTTGCCAAGCTTTCAGCACTGTTTATAGTCAGTCTCAAGTCTCCTTGATCATTATTCATTGATTTATATTCAGTTTAAACGTTTGTAACTTATTATAAATTACTTCATAAAAAGACTGTCTGATTAAAGACTGGGTCATAAAGCGTTGAGGGTCGATCATTTTCCAGTCTTTTTTTTTAAATTTAGATGATCATAGGTAGCATATTTTTATTTTCGAAAACAATATACATCCACAAAAAACCTTAATTAATTGAAAGATATTCATTGGTCAAGCGGACCACGAAAACTAGTGAATTGAATAAGTTAAAATGAAGTATATCTTCGGTAAAGCTCTCCGTGGCCATTCAATTGTCGCCGAGAATCAAATAGATTACACGACATTTGAAAAATGGCAAAAAGGAGGGAAAATTCAAAAGGTGGGGTTGAGATGGGAAGTTATTGTCCGAGTGGATCGAAGTCACGATAGCAGCTCAGGTGGTAGAGTAGCGGCGTATCTAGCCGAAGGTCGTGGGTTCGAATCCCGCTCGTGACATTGACTTTTTTATCTCAACTAAAAACCTTAATTAATTGGTAGTGTAAAAAAGTTGTGAAAAAGGCATTCTTATTAATCACTTAAATTTAATACGCATAAGAAAGAAAAATGATTTTATTTTTATCAATAAATGAAACATGTAAAAATGCTTTGAATACCTTCGTTTAATAATTGTGCAATAAGGAGATGGTTTTTTAAAAATATTTTTAATAAAGCACGATTTATGAAAAAGTCTCTAAGTAAATTCGTTTATAAAATATGCAGAAAATAAGATTCAAATGCCCATTATACTATAAATTCCGAGACAAATATGGACACTAACACACTAATCAAAAACTAAATAATTAAATTGAAAAGGAATTAAAAGAAAGGATCTTCATTATATCGAAAAATATTTGAATTTTTGATATTAAGTGTTCAAAATTAGAAAATGAACTTTTCTTCGTCATGAGCGTCGGTGGCGGCAACGGTTTAGGCGTTGACAAGTCTCTCATCACCGAACGTAAAGGCCCCGGGTTCGAATCCTAAGTGTAGTCCTAAGTGTTTTACTTGTGTAAATGTTGGTAGTTCTTTGTTATCTTGTAGACGTGGGCAAGGCTGTTTGTAATAATTTTAAAATAATTTGGGTGGATTTATCCTCATTCAGATTCATCTTCCACGTCTTCCATCTTCTCCAACTTCTCGATATTGGAGGCTTGGATGGGATTGGAGTTAGGAGAGGAAATTGCTTCCGCGTAGGTATGTAAGGAAGGTGGTGGGGTGTATCGTCAGGTGAGCAGTATAAATGGTATATAGGATGGGACCAAGACTGCTCCCTTGTGGGACTCCTGGATCGGTCTTGTTTCAGCGAACTCATTGAAGCAACAATTTATTATTGACTACAATTTAAATATTTAAAGCATTTATTTCTCCCCCAAAAAACGCCTAACTACTATGATATGCGTGAGCTTTTATGCCGATCTGACCCACCAACACTGGTATTTCTTTTTAATCATTTATTCATAATCATTACCATTTTTAG